CCAGGGCTTTTATTTTTCTATTATTCAAACTACAAAGCAATGTTGCTGTTTCCAATGAAATAGAGAATATAACAACTTAAGAAAGATCTTATTTATTAAGGGATAAACCTGATAAATGGATTCAGATAAGTGAGTCTGGCTAGAGGCATAGGCTAGTGTTGCATATCAGCCCTCTACTCATCTCAGAATTATACAAACAAGAGTTTTTCAGAAATGGAGCCAGAACTAGCTTATTCTCTGTACCCTGCAGGGTTAGAGGCATATACAGCTCATAGAATTCCTTTTTCCTTGCCTTGTTTTGGAATCAAAGAAGCAAAGCAGCAAGGCACTGGGTACTCACTGAACTGAGGCTCAGGGTGGCTGAAGTACAAAGCTCAAACAGGCCATGCCGCTAACCAGAAAGCAAGACTGCTTTGCAGGTAGAACTGGAAAGATCATGTAAATTGCTTTGCTTGTTATCTGTTCTGTGTTATCTTTTAGGGCCCAGTCTACTAAAGGAAAGACCGGTTTAAAGAAAAGGAATATCTGTAGGAACGAGCTATCTGTATTTTTCCTGTAATTTATTTCATGAAAAATTCTTCTAGGATCATCTGTTCAACTCATAAATCCACAAATTCCAGTGGTGAGCTCAAGTAAGCTCCTGGCATAATTTAAGTTTGATTCTTTCACCACAGAGGGAGGGAATTGATCCAATCATATTGGAAATTTGATACTGAGGTTGAGATGGGGGGTTAGGAAATAAGCCTGACTTCTTATTACATTTATATATTTACATCACTACTTGTGTCTACATCTATGAGAGGAGAGAGAGAGAGAGAGAGAGAGAGAGAGAGAGAGAGAGAGAGAGAGAGACTAGAAAATGATGAAGCAAATGGGGAGAATTTTTCTGAAATCAAATTAAACATTTTTTCCTTTCCCCTTTCCCCTACCCTTCCCATTTCCCCTATACCTTTAGCCCTTTTCTTCCTATTTCACATTGTCAATTGTACCATTGGGATCTTATGTACTATTATAGTTTTTCACACCAGAGAAACTATTCAGTATTTACACATGTGTGACTTATTTATTTAAGAGTATATCCTCAATATGAATCCATTTTCCTATGAATGACTCTAATTTCTCATTCTTTATGGAAATAAGAGAAAAGAAAAAATATGAGAAAATGAAAAAATGGAAGTAAAGTATTTCTAAATAGGGAAGGGAGGAGGGGGTAAAGGGAGGGCAGGGGTAAGGGAAAAAAATAAGAACCAAGATCTATCATGTAAAGGTACAAAATCCCAATGATGAATATAACTGTGCTGTATACCTAAATTGTATCAATAAACTCAATGAGAAAAAAATAGAATAAAAAACAAATTAAACATTTTTTTAAAATGAGAGAAAAACAAAGTGTGATGGTTGACCTTGGTTATCAATTTGACTGGATTGAGACACCTAAAAAAAATCAGTAAAGCAGAGTTCAGGGAGGGATAGTAGGGGGGCATTAAGGTATGTGAGTCAGCAAGCGAAGTGAGAAAGACTACCTGAAGGTGGGTAGCACTGTCAAGAAGTTAGAGGTTCACTGGAAAAGCTGTTGCTGCTATCGATGCATAACATACTATTATTAGTCTCTCTCTCTCTATATATATACACACACACACACACACACACACACACACACACACACA